CCTTGCTGTTTGGTACTAATAAACGACTTCTGTAAAACACCATCGTTGCGATAATCATAATTCTCTGTACGCTTTAAAACGCTTTTTAACAATGTAATATGTAGAAACGTTGCGTTGTGAATAGTTTATAAAAAGTGTTAACCCAGGGATAAGGAATAAGATATTACAAAACATTGATCACTAGCTATAGTATGCTATGGAGCTAAATTTCAATAGCTTTTTAAATATCAGAGCTTAAAGCAAAAAAGTTGAATTGAAGGATGGTCTTTGCAAATTGAATAAACATAATATTACTTAAAAAAATTCCTAACTCATCTAAATGAACCTATTATTATTATTTAGACATTAAAATTTGGTCACGTCGAATATAAACTACTAAATAAGAAAGGGAATTATAATATTTAAAACTCGCCTTCAGTAAATACAGAGACAATAGTCCATGATGATAACCGTTTTTCCAGATTTTCATTTCATCTTAAATACGTTCAAGATAATACTTAAATATAGTGAATCTATTATAAAAAAAAACCATGGACAATAATCCGGCGTCTAATTTTGATTAAGCTAAATTTGGTTTATATATTGATGATGTTAAATCAATCAAATACGAGAGAATTCGTACACTGTCCTGTTTATAAGAAATAAATTGTATTCTGAACAAGTGAACATTTACAGATCTGTACACGTATGCTTTGTGCGAGGGGTGGACGAGCAATATCACTCGCAACGCCCTTATTGCTGTAAACGATGTGAATTGAATTGGACATACCGACCCTTTGAAAGCACCTTGTATTTTAATCGCCCTTGGACTCCCTTGGAAATTATTTTCCCTTTCTGAAAAAGCTCCAAAAACAAATAAAAGCGGGCAGAAAAATGCTGGTTTTTGAGAGCAAAAGAGAGAAGTTCTGTATATGTACTCCATATATATTAAAACGTTATAAACGAAATACACATTTTTATAAAATAGATTCATCAAAAATTATTTATTTGACAGATTTTTAAACCTAAAACCAACAATTTCTAAATTAGAGTGTCGTCAAAATATTGGAATAATGTTTTAAAAAACTAATCGAAATTAGGTCTACTACTTAATCAATTGAGAAATGGAATGAAATGGAGTTTTACGTCCTATGCCTATTTCTTCTGACAGAATAGATTAATATGACTGATAAATAAATAACAATAAAATGAACACTTACAGTAGTCATCTATAGCTGAAGATGTCGAAACCATGGCAACAGCAACGGTGATATAAAAATTGAGCAGTGCCATTTTGGTTGTTTTTCTGGATGATCCTGGCCGAGATACAAAATATGAAAAAGACTTTGACAATTCTCTGCTTACTTACTGATCATCAAAGTAAACAACGTAATTTCTCATCTTTTCTCACGAGAGAACGAGATTCGGTTAGTCGTCTGCTCCACCCTGAAGTAAATAAACCTCGTTTTCATGAATAAAAAGGCGGGAGTGGAGAGTACTTTTGAGTCTTTGTTGACATAAATTATAAAATGGAGAGAGTTGTTGAATCCTGTTATATAATTCATTCTAATTAGGGTACTTGTGGTTCTATTCAACACCATGAAAGAAGAATACATGAACGTGATCCCGGAAGCCGACGTTTCGTTGAATCATTAGTCGAGGGGTCCAAGTAGGGGAGAGAGGCTCAAGAGCAATTTGTCCGATATAAAATGAGAGTGGGGGTCAAAGTTGGGCTAGCTTCAAATCGACTATGGGGCTCACTACTAATGTTATCTCCTCGGGCCAAGCAATGCATTGATTTACTTTTAAATGTCGTCAATTTTAACAGCTCTCTTATACAGATTGCATGATGGAAGTTTGTCCTTATTTGTCGTAAAACAAGAACAAGTGAATATTGTGACAAAGTTTAGTAAAGGCCTTACGGATTAATCACTTTGATGAATCAAATTGACGTTATCCACGTACTCCAGGGAAGCCGTCGGAATATTCAGATTTTCAACTAGACAGTTAAAGGGAGAGAATACAAATCATTGTGTGGCTTCTGTCCGCCTTAACTTAACCAGAGTTAGTATAGGCAGAGGCAATTAAATCTATGTCTACTATAAGAGTCCAATGGTCTATCTTCTATGACTTCAGATAAAATCAATATTTATTGACGAATATATCCTCTTCCTCCAGGTTACTTATTTAATTCAGTAGTACGCTTAACCTATTAGCTTAAAACATGCGGGATGGATAATATTTAAGGAAACAGTTGAAGGGAGATAAATGGTATTTGAACTCAATCAAACGAGTTTCAAAGTTTTTAATGCGCCGCAAAGGTGTCCCATCTGGGCAATTCAAATTGGGAACTCAAGGATCCCTGGCTAATGCCAAAGTGACCACATAATGCTTTTATCTGGAGCAAATAAGTCTTTTGTTTCTTCTGAAGGCAATGAGTTTCCTTACATCTAAAACTTAAGAGATTTCGATCAACCTGATCTGAAATCGACAATTATTTGGTTTCAGCTGCCGACAAATGTCTTTCGGCTAACCCGAAGTAAGAAACTTTCGTACATAAATCAAAGAAAGAAAATAAAAACACAGAATTCAAAAATATAACCTTTATTACTATAGTTCTGTTTAAACGTTCACCGCTGTTAGAAACAGTAGATCATTGGTTTATAACAGAACTGTTAAAATAAACAGCTATAATTCATAATAAACAGAGGTCGGAGCTAGAGAAATGGAGTGAATAAAAAGATTAGGTTTGGATTCGGTATTTACAATTTATGGTAAAAAAAAACGAGGTATTTAGGACTGCAAATGTAAAGGTATTCAAATGATTCGGTTGGAATAATGGTAGTCGTGCTATATATGGGTAATGCTGGCTCTATTCTTTACGTATGAACTAACTTTACAGAGTGAAAGTGCTTCCTCATAGGTCCGCGTTACAATTCAAAATTTATATGATGTCTGTGTAAAACATTAATAGTAGTAATTTTCTGTTTTAAAAATAATATTAAGAGAATGATAATAATAAACAACGATAATAATTTATACGTGCTTCCTCATAGGTCCGCGTCTTAAAATGGTATAAATTTGATTGCTTAGAAAGTAGTGTTAGAATCCCGGATGTAGTCGATCCAGCGTCGAATCTGATTGTCAGTCACATCAGCGACGGTGATTGGTTTCTTGTCGTCACATTCTACAAATGATTTAGAGATGATTCCCTTCAATGTCCATCTTCCATTTTCATTACAAACCAACATACCACCGTTATCACCCTGTAGAATAAAACAAGTAAATGAAAGTTGTGAATGAAAAATTGGCCATTTCACACACACATAAGAAGTCGGCAAACTATCTCAAATTCCAAACAGTATGGCAATCGGCAAAAGTGATATATTCGGCATCCAATGGAATAATTACAATCGAAGGCAGTAGAAATAATATGGGGAAGAATAGTGAGACTGCGACACGGCACCCTTGGCTCATTTTTCTAATAGACTTTTACTTACGACACAAGGTACTTTGCCTCTGTTAAGAGGTTCAGCGCACGAGGTAGCATCCGGGCGTTTGTTCAAACCGGAAGCTCTATAAATAGCATCGCAGACGTCTGTTGGGAAGAGTTGGACTTGAGTTTGAAGTAAGAAGGAAGAATAAGCTGAAATATAGAAATATTTTTATAAATCGATTGATAGGATAGATCCAGTCTGTTGTTTGCAAATCATTTTGAGTATACATGTTGTACACGTATCTCGTATTCATTGAAGTTTATATATAAACAGTTTAGAATTCCACTTTATAATACTCCCGTGTAGTTTATATTTGAGATCGGTTTGTCTTAAGGTTCCCCAACACCATAGCAACTACCAACCGAGTATGAAAGTGGTCAAGAATACCGAACGTTGTTGAATGAGAGTTGTGTTCAAAACTTATAGGGTGGTGTGAGAGCCCTTTATTCTGATAAGGTCTTGGGGAAAACTTCTGTTAAACAGTATATCTTGTAGTATACACAATCAATTAAAATCAGCGTTCAGTCCTTAGACAGGTACGTGTTATTTACAAACATCCCATCAAATGCACGTCAGTAAACACACCGATAGGTCTGTCCCCCTGTCACCTTCACGATGTTTGATTTTAACACCCTGGGGAGGCTGACCGATCATCTCGAACAACCCAATTAAAACCAGGATTAATTTACCTGCATTCGAGTGATGAACTCTGCTTAATACATGAGCAGCCTGGAGTGTTTGCCGACCAAGAGGCAAATTCTCATATAAAGAAATGTCTCATTTTAACTCGGTAATGACTTGAAACATTGTGTTATTTTGTTTGGTTTTCAGATTAAATTGGGTGCTAACGAGTAAAGTTAGAGAATTTCCTCCGGGCTGTTGATACGGCAGACATTTTTATCATTATTACGTAATAATTAGGAATCAAGAACGCATGTACTCAATGAGTCCGTTTTAATTAAAAAAAGAAATAATTCCCAAATTCAGCTTTCAGAACGATTAGTAGACCAGTGTAATGATTTGAAAGGAATGTGCTTTCCTTAAATTGTTTTAACTATCCAGTTTAGCTGTTCGTATCAAGTTTCAGAACGGTTGAAAAGGCAACAAATATTTACCATATCCCTTCAGTCAGTGGTTCAACTATCAACTACCGACTGGTTAAATCAAGTCAACGGGGCGACATTCCTTAGGGATGCAGGTTAGCATATGTTAACGGGGAAAGGGCCCCAACCCACTTAAGTTCATGGGCCCCCTCCCCACATTTAGTTGAGCCACTGTCTTCAATACTTACTAGTGTTATCATACAATCCCCAGCCAGCGACATAGCAATCCTTTCTACCACATTTCTCATCCTGTTGGTTCCTTTGGAACTGATTTTGGTTTTGGAACTGATTCTGGTATTGGTTTTGGTATTGGTACTGTTGATTGGTGTTCTGTTGGTAGGTATTAGGGTAGTAAGCTCTGTTGTTGATGTTGAGGTTCGGAGGAAGACAGGCTGGTTTACGACATTCATCAAATTGAACATCTTGACTAAGTCGCAACAAGGCCACATTGTATGCTGAAAATACCACATAGTTCTTCAAAATATCTGATATGACTGTCATATCACTGTATGGGTCAGTTATTTCTAACCAATCATAGCTTTTTTCATATCTGAGGGGTTGTCCATTACAATGTCTATTACAATATTCATGAGTTTTTCACGTGTGATCATATTCACAAAACAAAACGTAAAAATGGCTACGTGCAAGCGTGTTGATTGGCATGAATATTCATTGCCATTATGTCATAATTTCAGAAGTGTTGAGCAGACGATGGTAGAGAATCAGGGTTTACGACTCTACCTTTAGCAGGTGCCCCCCTCTCACTACCCCAATCTCGATCAATTTAAGCTGTATGAAAAACTTACGTGAAACCTCGGCACTGTTAAGATTAAGTAACTGAGGGTAGCCGCTGGGATTACTGTATTTGAAGAGAGGGTGGGTAAAATGACGGGTCACAGAGATGATTTGTTCCTTCTTTTGACCATACACATTGTTGGCCTCCTTTTTATCAATATTATTCTCTCCGACTACTACCAGTAGGTTTTTACTCACATCGGTAGCCCCGTTACCGTAACCAGCTCTGGAATAATAAAGAAGTTACATGAGAACAAAATTTCGTATATATTTTTCGTCTCCATTGTAGTCTAGCAAGTTTTCTATCACAGTCCCGTTCTAACGACGTTAGTTTTAACAAATCCAAGCGTGTCATATACAATTCGTTATGGTATCAAGAAATGGGTTCTACATGACACGCTTAAATTAAGATACAAAATTGCATAGAATAGCGGAATGGGGGTTACTTTTCAAGCAGGGCACATTTGTATTTTAATCAGAAATCGTTTAAAAATAAATTCCAAAAGAAGATAAAAAAAATGATGGATTTAAAAAATTTTTAAGTCTGTACGACGAAAATTCGATCGTGTTGTTTTGTTTTCTTGTTAACTTGCCGTAATCTTTTTAGGTTTTGATTTAAATATTTTTTTTGCTCCAAAATTATGACGAATTATCGACCAATTTCTACTCGTATAAAAAGGATGTTGATTTGTATAGTTTTTTTCAATAATGTAAAAAGCAACAGAAGAAAAGAAAAGCGAAATATTATGAGCTTTTTTTTTAAAAGGGACCCATTCGCCATCCTTTAACTATAGTATAGACAGGTCGCCGTCTAATTTTTAGCCTTCAAATCAATGTGTGGCCAAAAATATGACTCTGTCATATGAAAAAGACATAATATGTAGAACTAAAAAGGAATAATGCGATTTTTATACATTTCTAGTACTTCTGAAGACCCAAGAACCAAATCAACACCAAAGAATGGCGAATCTGTCCCTTTAATTAGATTGCTTTTAGGTCTCAGGTCGATCAGATCTTTTGTTTTGTTAGAACATCAGCAACTGCGATTTCTGTATCGACTAAAGCAAACCTAAACTAAGGTCAGTTTGTAAATGTGCTGTCCTGACGAGGGTATTATGTCTGAAGTACGTGTTGCCTATATGAGATTACATAACGTAATCTAGGTTAATTAGGTTTATTGAACTATAAGTAGGTAACTTGATTGTAAATAAATATTGATAATTTTTAATGATTAATGAAAAACAGACAACCGCCGCCATGTAACCCGATAAAGAATATAGGACTATATTTGTTGTTGCACAGATTATTTCTGTTCACCTCAAGTCGACCAAAGGCAAAAACAACCCAATAAAACTGAAAACTGGAAAGCGAAACTCTATGCCTTTTTTAATTGTTACCGCGAAGGTGAAACTTTTTTCTACTACTACCAATTCCGGACATGAGATAAAAGTAAGAATGTCGTAGCTTTTGTAGAAGGTGGTATCAGGTGTTGTTCGAACCCCCCACACCATCACCCCCCACCCCCCATACCCTCTCCCCTTAAAACACACCTCACCAGTGCTAATCAAAATAATACTTACAATAACGGACAATAAGCTGAAGTTAGAATCCATCGTCGATCAATCAGAACTCCGGCACACAGAGGTAAACTGTTCTCATAGGTAGTGTATCCATTGCCCTGAGTGTTACCTCGGATAGACACTTGCCATGGCCAAGCACACTCGGCACTCTTGGTACCACCAAGGATTCTCTGAGATTTAGAGCGTCCACAGATATTGTCGATATCTTGTCTAGTTGTGGGATTAGGAGGGCTTGTATTCCAAGGGTCTGTAGGGTTGTTCACGGCTGAAATAAAGAACAAACAGTTGAGCAGATGCCAACTCGAACGTCCCATTGACGAATGAAGATGGTTCCTACAGATAGTTCATGTTTGTTGTTCGACCAAACAGTAGAAATGGTTTCGGAAGAAGAGTTAGATACCGCGAATGGTCCATAGTCGATAGCTTTGGTTTTACGTCATTGACCCCTTTTAGAACGTCCTTTCATTCATGCCGATATTACGAAGAAATTGGAGGCCTCAGAACCAAGAATCATATAACATCGGTTCCAAATATTTTGATGAAAGAAATTCGAGTTGAACACCTTATATTTCTGCACTTATTTTTGGACTAATGCAAATCAGTAAGCCCGTACCCCTAGCATGGAGCGTAAAAGCCCCTTACTTACTGAGTCACCCGGCGCCATAGGGTGCAAAGATTGGTAGATCAGTTCTTACCAGGGTATGGTTCACAGCACACTGAAGGGTACAAACCCCTCTCACTAGAACAGATATTTGGGTTGGTTATTTTGGACGGTCTGTAATTACTGGGGCATCCTCCTTGAAAACACCGACCTCGGGCTGCTGTTACCACGTGACATGCTGAAAAATATATATCTATATACGTTTTAATTTCTATTGAATAATCCAGAATTCCTCGCATATGAAGAAAGCGCTTATTTAACTGAGCTTTTGATTTTGACTTCCGATTTGAATTCTGTCTTTATTTTTTTCATATATTTGATGGCACATCCATTGATCGGTTAATAAACTCGCACCTAAATAGAAAATTTCATTGGATAAAACTATCTGGAGATTACACTCTCGGAAACGCCATTCTGAATTACTTTCGGCGTTTTACAGCTTTGAGCTAATTATAAGAATCATGTGTCCAAGAATGTAGATTGCAGGAATATTAGTAAACAGAACAATATTTAAACTTCTTTTTAGGATAAAAACATTTTTTTTTTGTTGACTATTAGTGATGAATACAATCTTGTTTTCTGTTTAAAAGTAAATACACAAAATAAATAAAGACAGACGAGCGCATTGAATTTATAATTCTTAATTCTCCATCTCATACAAAGCCAAATAAACAATCAGTGTTCCCTTCAATTTCATCAAATAAAGGGAATATCTTTCCCCAGCTGATAGAGCTTAATTTCAGCATGGCTCTTCTGTTATTCAGAAGAAACAGTCGTCAGTGGCTCAACAAGAGGAGTAGGGACTTGTGGACTCAAGTAGGTTAGGGCCCCTCTCCTGGGGAACTTCTTTTTAACATTCTGCATTCTGAGATCATTGTGTAAGTCAATTTGATGCCTGTTAATATTTTGTCTGAGGGTGGGGTCCCGTGGTAACATTATCGAGCTGTCTGAAATAAATGACATCACTTTTTTTTGATTCAGTTCCGACATTAAACCACTGACTAAATAACGATAGCCAACATTTATACGATTACCTTCATCCACAAAATAAAGCGCGTCATATCTTAATATTGTCAACAATCTTTCGTTTCACTGGTCTTAAATTTTTAAATTGCAACATTGAGCTCCATCAACTGGTAAAGCAAATCTTTAGACAACTTAACAGTGATTAAGGCACTATATCAATTCCTTTATCCGTATAAACGTCTTGATTCTTCAAAAAATGAGAACTTCGACCAAATAGAATTTCAGCAATAATATAAAAAGTAAACATAAAAACTTACGTAGGCCTTGTGCGGGGTTGAAAGCTGACGTTACAGTTACGGTAACGAACAAGCAAGCGGTTACGATCAATCCGTTCATGATGGTGGTTGGAAGATGTTTGATGTAAAATTAAAATAACTTTTTATTTTAAGACAGTAGTGCAGGAGACAAGAAAGACAACCCCTACTTTACTCCTCCCTACTTCAAACATCACCTTTAACCCCGACAATTCACACGATCACCCGCTAATTAATTACTACCATCATTCGAGACACATCGTCCCAAGTTGACATTTGACGAAGTTGTTAGTCCTCTTCTATGTAAAGAATACAGGATATTTGTTCAGAAACAATCACGATTCTTTGTTTATATGTATTGTATAGTTGGCCACATGGTGCATTTCAACACCTAAATTACTCTGACTTCTTTAAAGAGATTATTGGTAGAATGAGCAATTCTTATCAGAGACATCTTGCGCCAGGCATATTTACAGGTAAAGGGCACTGGCAGAACTAGGTTAGAAATTCGGGCAATCTCAGATAACCCCCCCCCCCCCCCCTTCCCCTCTTCAGACGTAAACTTGGCTCCGCCCGTGGTAAAGAGTGCTGCGTAGATATCATGTTGGACATAAGCTCAATCCAATTTGACTAAGATACGCGAATAAACAGAATAAACCATCCCAACCAGAAGTTAACAAACGTAAAAGCATATTCCAAATGTTATTGGTCATAAAATGTCTTATTCTTTCTCTAGTAGCCTATTCTATATACATCTGTAGAGATGAAAAAAAAAAACTCGGCGTCCCGAATGAAAGACGTAAAATCAAAGTGCTAAACCAGCTGATTAGTGAACGTGTGTTAAAATCCAGACGATTTCAGTGATCTTTAAATCAGTAGCACGTTCTTTACTTCTATTTACTTGATTGACAGTACACGCTAATTATCGCCCTTTATTTCCACAATATTTACTTCTGCTCGCGGATTTCCCGCCTTTTGTTTATAGCTGACCGATCCCGATTCTGAAAGAAGACTTCACAGAAAACCTCAACACCTCTCCTAGGATTAAATGTGTTGTGCTAAGTTTAGATGTTTTTCTACAGGCCGATTGGAAAGATCAAAGCGTGATATGTCAGCCTTGTTTTATTAGAAACTAGTTCCGAGACCTCCATTTATAATTCACTAGGCTGGGCTACACCCAAAAATAGAAGTACGCCTATTCTTCTGAGGAGGATATTGTATTGGCGTCGAAGATGTTACGTGCATTTGTGTCGTAGTATTTTACACGTCTTGCCATTTTCAGATCCATTCATTTTCAGAACTTAAAGATCGACTTTGATCAGAGGATTAACAGGTGGCTCTAACGATTACTACCTTGGATAGACCCTACCCTTTTTGTCTTTGCATAAAACATATTCCGTTTATATATTTTCTCAGTTTTGTAATGAACTTTTTTTATTTTTAATTTTGGACGTGGGAATTGGATTATTGGTTGGCTTGAAGAGGATACATATTTAGGTTCTAATTGTTGTTTTAAGAATGAAATAATACGTGTCATATTTTAATATATTTTTAGAATTTAACAAGATTATTGTATTTATAAGAATATTTATAGCTGGTTTTTTATTTTTTTAAGATTATGAATTAATATATTGAGATTGTTTTGTTGAAGTTGTAAACAATTTTTCATGTTTATATGTAGACAAAAACAACATGCCAATTTTTAATTCCGATCTTCTCCTGTTCTCCTTTCTTAGTACATAGTACTAGATATTCTATTTGCCCCTAATTGTCAGTCTGACTAAGATTAGATCAAACTTTCGTTCCGTTTTTTTTTTATTAGATTTTGTTTTTAATATAGCTACTTAAGTTAGGGTCTAATGACAGCCCTCTTGAACGTTCGTCAAATTAACCTTTCGACCTAACCTGATAAGCTTTGCGTTACGAAATGCCGGTGCTGGAGATGTAATAATAATGGAATACATCAAGTGGAGATGAGAATTGCCAAAACCCGACTTTCACGTCTACATCACTTAAACTGTTGGTTACTGTTATAATAGATTTTAAATTCGTGTTAATCTTATTTAAAGGTAAATTATGTGATAATTGCTCTGTGAATTAAAAAATAATCTACACAAAGCCGAATTGTTCAGTTTTGTTTTATATTATTACAGTATTATACATGAACTCATGAATAGGTTTGAACGATATCTCTATTTTACGCTTTGTGTATTCAAAACTGAAGGTCTTCTTTGAAAAATGAAAATAGCTCCAGCATTGCCTTTAATTCCTTTGAAATCGCGAACTGTTTCTTAATGAAAGGTATGTTTACCACCCTAGTTAATTATAACGCTAGAAAAATTGGGTTTGTTTACACTCGGATCAATTTCTAGATGGATCTAATGCTGATCGATAATCTAAATCGATCTATTCATCTGATATTGTTGTCGAGATGTACAGATTGATTCATTCTCTGATAACAGATCGATCTACAGTTCTGTAAAAAAAAGCTCACGGGACAAAGGCTCATTGCACGTTTAGTCGTGTGCCAGGCCGCTACCACACACCTTTTACTGTGCATTTTAAACCGTGTTGCACTAGCCCGACTTCTGCTAGTAAGGAAGGAATCTTGCGGATATATTTCACTTTCATGATTATACTGCGTATGAGTGATGTTTAAGGAAATTCGGGTTTATATTGCTCCTTAAAATGTAAATTGAAAGTTTTGTTTTATCCTCCAGTTTACCTCCACGTCATCAGTTATTCAATGACCTTCTTTATCATATATGATAATTATTTTGAACTGAAACAATCACTTCACAATCAAAGAACTGAAAATTAGGCCTGAAGTTATCTTTAAGAAATCTGGGCTTGAGATCTATGCAGATGAAGGATACCATACTTTCAAATTATAACAATGATTTTTATCCTAAAAAATCAACCCTTTTTAAGTGAACATATTAACAATAGTTATTGTTTATAGTTAGAAAAAGTTGTTGATTTGAAAAAGCGACTTTAGATATTCAGATTTTTATTGGAATCTTTTTAAAATGATGTTTCGGTTTTATGTGGGGTGTTTTCTGACAGTGTTTTGTGACTGTATACACTGGTCGAGGGTGTCGGACATGGATGGGAAAGAAATTCAAATCAATGGTAAAGATTATCAGTGTGACAAATTGATGTGTGCTATAGAGTGTTCAAAAGCTCACGAGTGTTATTCTTTTAGTCATGACGTCAAAACCAACAGGTGCGTGTTATATGATGACGTCATAACGACAGGAGTGTATGACGCCAGCAGTAAATGGAGATATTACACGTCGCCAGGTATTTTTTTCTTTTCTCCAGAAGATAGAATCGAAATCATTGTCACTTTCAATGTATCATTTTATAGTCGGAATATTTTGTTGTGGTATACTACTATTTTGGACAATACGTGTCAATAAGGGGTGGTAACTGCCGATATATAGATAGAAGTTTGTTCAAGAACCAGCTGGTAGACAATCTGCATCATTTAAATTATATTTGTGCATGGAAATATATCTCATGCTGACCATTGAAGTAGAAGTGACGGGTGTCTCTCGTGAAACAGACCATGTTTACTCTTTTCGAAACACCTGATGGTACTCTTTTCGAGAGGCCACTACTATACTACCTTTGCTACCGATTTTTGATTGACGGAATTGTCTTGCTTGTACAGATTTTTATTTTATTCTTCTATCTTTCAGACCGACCTAAAATACCAGTACTATGCCCTACTGATTACCATGAAGAGTCCGATATGTGTTTTATTATATACCCTGAGTTTGGTTTGGGTCTGGAATATTCCCGACTGTATTGTCAGCAAAACGATGCAGATTTGGTTATTATAGATTCCGAACGGAAGCAACAAACCATAAACTCGTATTTAACTCAAGGTTGGTCAGAAGCGTAGTCTGGATGTGAACTAGTTTGGTTCCTTTTCAAAGTTTATGACACCATGCGATCAGCTTCTGTGTTGCTGGTGACATAAAACGCTAAGTGGAATTGCAAGAACCATAGACGTCTTATTGGAAATTGGAATGGTGCAAATCGATGCTGCCCGATACACATTAATTTAAAAAAAAAAACCTTAAAAATCCCTTTAATAATTCCTGGCAGTGACTATAGTCGAGACTGACACTTATTGGCATTTAGGGTTTTTGAATTACAAGACATGTTCATCGGATTAGCCGAAAGTGGACTGTATCAGCTGGGAAAGCAATTATTTACATGACCATATCTCTTCCAAATACAAATAAGATTGGAAACAATCAGGACTGTAGTTAAGGGAGGGGAGAACTAAACACACCACTGCCCCTCCGATTTAATACTTGCCCCCGACGAACAATCAAATTTATGGGCCTGTAAAAAAAATGGTGGGTAAAACTCCTTTTTATGTTTCAGGAACCTCCTATTTGATTGGGTTATACAGTAGTCGCTATAGTTCAGTGTTTGAATGGGTTGATGATTTAACATACGTCAACTACACCAACTGGGCTCCAAACGAACCTTCTAATATGCAGTCAGCAGATCAAAGGTGTGCCATTATTGAATATTACTCCTTTCATGGTCAATTTAAATGGGGCAGTTATGAGTGTAATACTGTAGATGCTATCATTTGTGAAGTTACTGGATTTGCACCATCTGTGACAAACGCATGATTTGAATCATCATTGATATGTACACACCAGAAGATAGAAATATTAAACCAGAACTTGAATCATGTTGTTACTCAGAGTTTCACGCTATACGATCTTCAGACAACTGACTTTTTTTCAGCCCGTGTCCCTACTGAAGTTGAACAACTTCTCATAATAAAAAAGAATGTTAAAAGTGATTTTTAGTTGTTTGTTTCGAGGACACTTACATAGGAAATCTTTAGAGATGAGGTTCAACTATTTGACTCTACAGATCAGATTGATCGAGATACTCTGGGTTTTTGTTGGGTTTTTTTAGGGAGGGGGTGGGGGTGGTATATTTCTGCAATTTGATTCGGGGCTGTTGTGTTCCCAGCAATTCAACAATTCATTAAAAAATGTTTCTATACGTTTAAAAAAAAACCATCAATGATGCCTTTAAATATCAATAAAATCTATTTTTGATTTGTTACATATAGGGCAATTAAGATTGAGTTAAATCGCCGATATTTTCATTGAAATGTATCAATGATGATTAGCCCTATTTTCATATTCCGTCAAGGTTAGTGTTTGTGCTCGTGGCTAACTTATTGAGTGTCTTGAGCATCCTTTAGTATTTCTCTAACAAAAATCGGGAAAGGATATTGTAAAAGTGTTTATTTAGACTATAGGCGGTATCAACAATGTTAACAAATAAGAACTGTTTATATTGGGTCTAATCGATAATCAATCAGGCCTCTTGATATCGCTTTATAATGTATTGTTAATAATGACATCATTTTACTCTTCATCAAACTAAACTAAACTCAAATTTTCCATAAGCCAGAGGCCTTGGTATTCGGCAATCCTCGGAAGTTTCCGTAAATCTGAATCTGCTAACATTCACGGTAGGTCGTTTGGGGTCTCGGTTGGCAGAAAGAGGTAATTGAGAGTGATTTAGGTTTATGTCTAGGTGTCTGGATGCTTCTAGACTAGAACCCACGAAAGTAATAATACCCTCGACGGTTGCAAACGGTAAGCGATCTAACGTCTAACCAACGTCCACGAGCCTTAAAGGCATTGTTAAAAGGTGTGCATTTCATCCCATCTTGATATAAAAGGAGAACTTGCCCATCTTCATTGCCCCAAACCGGTCTAGAATGTATCAATTTATGCCATTTGATTGCCTAAGTAGCCTTTTTCAATGTAGAAAATTACTTCGGTCTGAAACTGGAGAATTATTGGTGGTCTGATTCCAATCCATCCGGAAGTCGAGACTACTTTCGTTTCTATTTTGTCCACGTGACGATGTAGTTTCGTAAGTCAAGACGTCTATTGCAATTTGCTTTGATAATATAGGACTGGACAATCAAGAAAATCCAGCATGGCTGAATAATTTTAAAAACAATCGTAAATTCTTTAAACTTTTCAAATAAAAAACAATCGGAATGGGAAAGAAGAATAAAAAGGAGAAGAAAGGGAAGGGACAAGAGAAAACTGCCCTAAAAACTGAAAAGAAGGCCGAGAAACGAGCTAAAAGGGAGTTAGCAGACATCGGAGAGGTGAGAAAGATATTGAATAATAATAAATGAAAATCAATTTTGTCTATAGTAGAGTAGGCAATTGGATTCTCAGAAAAAAAGGACACCCATCTACCTTCTTTTCAACACATTTAAAACAAATACATATTTCTACCATGTTTCACTTCAACCATGAAGGATATATCCAACATAAAAGTCCAAAACAACTGGAAACGGTACGGTACCTTTTTAATTAACCTACTATTATAAAAAGCGATTGATCTTAAATTCCAGGATGAAATCAAGAAACAGATAGCTGAGTATCAAGATAAGGCAAAAGACAGAACAGAAGTTATTGAAGAAAAATGTCCCCCACCCTCCCCAAGGTATAGTTTTAGTAGAGTCAACATGTTCAGCGATAGTCACAGGTTTGGCCATTGATAGAAAGGATCTTTAACTGTGAACCTAGTTATAAAATATCTTTGTAAAATATAGTTTTTTCTTAATTTCTATACATTATAATGGCTCTGTAGAAAACAGTGCAATTATTTTGAATTTTGTAGACGGTGTTGACGTTATCCATTTCACTAGTGGGAACAATACCTCTTTAGGATTGTCGCCTTTCCTCATTAATCTACTCTATCTTATAGATCAAATATAAGTTTAACTCCTCATCCTGATAAAGAAGAATTGTTTTTATTTGGTGGAGAATATTACACTGGTAAAACTGTGAGTATTGAAGTTGATTTTTGGTCATCAGGGACCTTTGATTAAAACCTTGGCCCTAGTTGCCTGGAAGCATTGTAATTGGTATCTTATCTATTCCCTATCTGAAATGGATACATTTTGTACAAGGTGTAAATCGTTTTATTGAATTGGATGAAAGAGCTCGCTTTCCGCTATCTGTATAGACCTCTAAATATATGCTCTACCATCGGATAGAATTGATTTCAGATAATTGAAATGTAGCTCTTTCATTTGGACATGTAAATATCCATTATCTATAAGTTTATTTAATAATTATTTTGATTTAACATCGGTATTTCAGATGACCCTATATGATGAGTTATATATTTATAATATTAAGAAAAATGAATGGAGTAGAATAACAGCCCCGAACGCCCCGCCCCCTCGTAGTTCACATCAGGTGAGTGATTTTTGACAGACTCTATCCCCCCACCCCCTAGCAGTTCATTTAATTGGGAAAGTATATTATATTACTGTCTTACTTTTGCTTACAAACTTTTTTGTTATGAAGCTTTAGATAAAATGCCTTATACAAGTTAATAAGAAAAAACTTTACAAAAACAAACAATAGCAAGATCAAACTGTATTAACTTACCCATTTACAAAACTAGATGTCATGATAAGGATTTGATATCAGAAACATGTGTCAGATGAGATGAACTCTGAAGAATTGGGATCAGCATCCTGGTTTCTAGCTGTTCTGAGGGGAGGAATGGAGGTGGAGGGTTTTTGTTTCTGCTATGTGTCAGTAGCATATGACATACTCTTGATATCATACAATCCATCCTGATATCCAGTGTATATTTGATGATGATATTTTTCAGGCAGTAACATTAAGCCAGGGAGGTGGACAGTTGTGGATATTTGGAGGAGAGTTTTCAAGTCACAGTCAGTCTCAGTTTTATCATTATCGAGATCTGTGGGTTTATCATATTAAACATAAACAATGGCAGCTCATCAGGTAATAATTCAAAACTTTAACTGGTGGGTAGTGGGTTGGCTCTGTAATAGCAGGTCATTTAGTAGTACAACCCCAAACTTTTAGGGCTGTACGTTGGCTCTGTTGGTTACATATTGGATTGTTATCTGCTAGGTGACTTTGTCCTTTATTCACACCAATATTTAAGGGCTGTGGGTTGGTGGGTAACAGATGGGATTGTCATCTGCTAGGTGATTAGGTGGCTTAGCTAGGCTCTTCTCTGGAGCCACACATCATCAGTGGTATTTATTCAAACCAAATTTACATGAAGAAACTTCTGACTCCTGTGAGTTGAAATCTTGAACCTCTTAGGAATGGAATCAGAGTTGATTATTAAAAATGTATGTGGTGACCTAGATAATATATGATATTACAGTGCACCAGGAGGTCCATCATCTAGAAGTGGACATAGAATGGTGGCTTGGAAGAAACAGCTGGTAGTATTTGGTGGCTTCCATGACAATTTAAGGTAATGATTCAAGAATAAGTTCTTATTGTGTATTTAAATAGATTTTCAAACTATGCCCACATTTAGAGATACATTAGGACTAATACAGATTTAAATTGGATTGTTAACAGGTTTTCGTCACTGGTTTTGGTTGATTGGGAAACTCTTAGTTTCAGCTTTTATATTCTGTCCAGGGTTTGACAGTCTTGAAATTCAAGAACCAGTATCTACTATCTTAAAGACATAGCTTCTAACTGTTTTGAGAGTTGTTTTTAGTTTTTTTTAAAAAAAAAACCCTAAATATGGACTATTTTTCAGGGAGTATAAATATTTCAATGATCTGTACATGTTTGACACTGAGAACTATACCTGGTCACGTATTACTACATCTGGGATAACTCCATCACCACGATCAGGATGTGTCCTGACGGTAAATCAGGATACAGGGAGGATTGTCGTCTATGGTGGATTCTGTAAGGAGAAAGTGAAGAAGGATGAGGAGAAGGGGACAGCATTCACTGATTTGTATTCTTTAACTATGGAAGGTAATGAATCTCCAGAATATTCTCTGTAGATCTCTTTGTCTGTGACATACCTATTGTCTTTGGGCAAATAAAGATAAGATCTGGGGCCTACTTCTCGAATACTTAACTTCAGATGATTTTAGTGTTCCAGTCATCTGATTTTAAATTTGATTTATTATCCAATCAGATTACTGTATTTCCTATGATCTTTAAGTTTTCAAGATATTATTAGATACCAATGATTGTTAGAAGGACAGAGAGTAAAGAAAAGAAACGTTTTTAGACGATCTTAAAACAAACGACCTAATATTAACTGAAATGGCAGGACTCAATGAAAACAAAAAGTTGTTTTATCCTATGGTACTGAAGTATCTTGTTTTTTAGGTAAAGGTGAATCAGTGAAGTGGAAATGGTCTCAGATGAAACAGTCTGGTACACGACCTTCCACACGGTGTGGTGTGTCTGCTACTGTTGCCCCTGGTAACAGAGCTATACTGTTTGGTGGTGTATATGATCAGGTAATATCAGATAACACTATAATGTCCATTAAACTTTTATTCCTAAATATTTTTATTAGATGATATTTGATGTTTTTTTAATATAATAATAAAATATTTTCCCTGTTGAAATACCAGTCAATGCATCAGTATTTACCGATTTCAGACGTCAATGGATGAAGATGATGATGGTATATTTTATAACGAGATGTTTTCATTGGATACCACAACTGGTAAATGGAATGATGTCATCATTAGGTAAGAAAACACAGGCAATTTCAAAATGGAAGCCCTGATTGTCTTTAATTAGAAAAAGCTGCTGAATTGATGTAATTTTTAAACTTTTGAGATAGACCTTCAAATTTTGTAATCATAATCTTCATGAACATTTTCATATGAAAACACACCCTAAGACCTGAAGCTCAGGTTTTATTGAATTGGCTACTAGCTAGTGAGCTGCCAACCTATAATTGGATTTTGCTTTTATTGCTACCTGCTGAGGTAGAATTTAATATTGAATAGATGTTGTTCTTCCAGGGGTAAGAAAAATGTCACGGAAAAAAAGAAGCGAAGGAAAAATAAAGGAGGAGATTCAGAACTTGAAGAGGAAATCATCGAAGATACAGAGGAATGTCTGGATGATCTAAAACTTGAGAAACAAAGGGACATAACTCAAGGAACTTCTACTGCTGAGGTTCCTATGGAAACTGACTCTAGTGTCTTTACTGTGAAAATCGGACCTCAATCTTCGAAAACTTTGGATAATTCTGACCAATCAGGGGGCTCCTTTTTGCCTTCACCCAGAATGAACTGTGCGTTATGTGTCAAAGGAAGTATATTGTATTTATATGGCGGACTTGTCGAGGATGGTGGGAAACAGATAACTCTTGCTGATTTTTATTCTCTGGATCTCCAGAAGTTGGATGAATGGAATATTATAATAGCAGAAGATAAGAAATTACAGGTAATATTTATTTGTAGTCTGTATTCTTGTTAGTAGTTGTATCCCTTTGACTGCGCTTATACTTGCAGAATTTTTATTTATTTGTAGTATTTTACTTTATTTTACCTCACTGGTGTTATATGTAGTTAATTGTTGTTTGTATTCATGTTTATAGTTGTGTCCCTTTGATTGATTTCAATGTACTTTGGTTTTATTCATTAGTGGTCTGTATTCTTGCCAGTATTTGTTTCCCTTCGATTACTCGGAATGAGTAGTTAAAAATTGATTTATTTGTGGTCTGCATTCTAAAATTTGTGACCCCTTTTATGGGTCTTGAATTAAAAAACAAGGTAATGTTGTTTTATTTGTGGTCTGTATTCTTGTTAGTAGTTGTGTCCCTTTGATTACTTTAAATGCTTCTAGCATCGAGTTATATGATAATTATGACTTGCAGCTAGAATTTTATTTATTTCGGTGTGTATTCTATTATGCCTATTCCCCTTCAATAGGTCTTATGAATCCACCCATATTAGTTGACTGATACAGACATTATTAATGTTTATCTATGTCCAGGTGTGGGAGGAGTCAGATGATGAGGGTGAAGATGATGACAGTGAGAGTGGCAGTGGAGAAGGGGCAGAAGGCGGAGATGAAGAGTCCACTGATGATGGTAAATCTTGATGTTTTGGAACTGTGGGGCTTATTCTCAAAACTTAATGTGATACAATATTGCAGTTTTCTGGTCATTTGGATGGGACAAAAAGGGAGGCTGTTAAACTTTCAAAAAAGCAAGGAGAGTTTACTCACTTTGTGGCATTGCCCTTCATCAGTAACTTGTAAATTATAAAATCCCCATTGCATTTGTACTCAAGCTAATCACTCTTCTATCCTAGATTCAGATGATGAAGATATTACTTTTGAAGATGCTCCAAAACAGAATCCTGATGAGAGTGCAGAAGTTTATTTTGCAAGATCGAAAGAGTACTGGATAACTAGAGCTGAGGAGATATTTGAAGAAGATAGGTCTAGGTTGTCCAGTCAGAAAATGGAGAAGCTTGCCTTTGAATTATGTAAGAAAGCTCTATTAGAGATGAATAAATAGTCCAATTTAATATTCTTTTGCCATTTATGTTACACATATCATCCACTTTATCAACAACCTTCGGCTTATATCTCGACTCAAATACCCGCCTTTGAGGCCATACGTTTGTAATGCAGTGAATTGATTGGATTGTACGCTAGCAAATACAGCCAATCAGAGACCTCAAACAAAGTCTCTTAACACTAAGCTATAATGTTTACAGTCTTTCTGTTAAGGTCTCTGATTGGCTGTATTTGCTGGCGTAGTCCAGTCAATTGCTGCATTCCAAGATACAAGAAAGGGGGCTATTGGTGTCAAGGTATAGGCCAAAGTTCCAATAGCTTGACCTTCAGAGAAGACGGGTGCCAACAATTAAAACAACAATTATAATTTGTTTACTATTTTATTCACAGTTAAAACACTCCTGTCTTTATTAATCAGTTTTTAGTTAAATATAGTTACATGTTTTACAGGGTCAAGGTCATTTACCTTGACAACAAACATGAACAATAAAAACCAACCTCATGGTTGCCATGGTAAAAGCCAATATGGCGGAAGTTGGTTAAAAAGGAAAATTGGTTGTTCACTAAAATACAAACACATCAAAGTCTTTCTATTGTACAAAAAACCTAGAAACCTAGTCTACGACTGGCAGACAAAAATAAGACTAAGGTAATCTAGTCTACAGGCAAATAAGATGGTGAGAGACCACAAGTAACGTCTGGTGGTTTTTGGAACGCTTAATAATGCTATGGAATAAAAATGAAAAACACGAAAAGAAATGGTGAGACAAGAGAAGATAAATTATTGAAATTTTAACCAAAAAAAATCCAGAAATAAAACAGAAATGAAGGAAAAAGCAAGAACAAAAAAAAAGAAACTACAAAATTCTGAAGAAAAAAATATTCTTGATAGATTAACAGTGGTCTGAAACTAACAAAACATAACATAAGGGAGATAACCCTGATTCACTAAAGAAAACAAAGGGACATAACCCTGAATACTTCATAGCAAGGGAGATAACAAAATGTTCACACATGTTATGAATGAATCGAGAATGAGCCAAAATAACACCCTTTACTCTCTCCATTCTTGAGAATCAAAATAAATAATAGTACAAAACTCATCCAAGTTCTGATTCAAAATACCTGAATCAAAATTTTCAAAAAAACAAAAATCAAAATGATTGGAGAATTGAAATAAATTATTTTTTGAAAATGATGGTAATTTACAATTTGTACAGTTTTTGGACAAATAACAAGGCTCAATATACAAAAACACTGTCATATCACACAAACCAAACAATTTCAACTTCTTTCACAAAAATAATTA